GCCATGATATTAATCGAATGCAGACGAAGTTGCGTGCTTTTGGTACATGTATGTTTCAGCTTGTCGCTTGACAATGAAGGAAGGCATTTTTGAAGTTATGTTGCTCGCTAGAGCTTATGCCTCTTGCACAATATTGCAAAAATGTGGTCTATAACCTATCCGAGTCACGGGCCTTGGAAGATAAACATCGATTTATCAAATCCTACAAACTACAAATACCCCTTCCATGCCTACAACTTGGCAGCTGTTTTCAGGAGGCGAGGCGATAATCCGCGAATATGGTCACAAAATAACGTCAATGCGGTCACAGCTAAGGGCTATCCTCCGATCTAGCAAGTCAGCTATACGCTGTCTCGTCAATGGAGAGTTCAAACCCCCCTGGGTATGTTTGGTTGGGGTGCCTTCATACCAAATGAACTCCTCTTCGTATTGGCTTAGGTCAATTCGACTTTTTCTACCCATTCGTCAATTCTCATAAAATGTTCCACCAAATCATACCAACAAATGCTGGATGTCACAAACTGCTTCAAACTAGCACTCAGCTTTCAGATATACGAACAATCGCCATCCAAAATATTCCATAGCAGCTGGTAGTTGATTAAACCTGCTGCGATCATTAGGTATATGCAGGATATCTCCCACCTACTTCCGATTCCGTTCGTCTTATACATTCACCTTGACTTACAACCACTGCGGGTATCAAAAAATTCTCTCAATCAACGGAAACAGAGGAGGGCCCAGAGCTCGATGAGCCTAATATTCCAGTGGTTGTTGAACCTCGGCGTCTCTGTATCCCAGACTCAGAGGACGACATGGCAATCACAAGCTGGACAATGTTCAGAGCAAGCCACGATCAGAACAGGCCTGAGACCAATTCTCCACTCTTCTTTAATCGGTGTTGGCACAGTACTGATATCATTAATATCCGTACTTTTCAAGCCTTGACACTCATACCCATGTGTCTGATGTGGATGTAGCGAGTCACAGCTTTGATTTGAAGACCGACTAGAAAGAAATATTGCGGTCGAAGCCATTCTGGTCGACTTAAAGCAGATCGTACCGCTATGGTGATCGGGCATAGAAGACAATGCAGGAAGGTTTCCCCACAGGCAAGAAAAACAACTGAGCTACCGAACTCAGATACTTCAGTGCAAAAGAAATTGCCTCGTCTATACGAGGGCAGCTAGGCTGACTCTCGTGGACTTCTTTGTGATGGTCCAAATGACTGGTACCGCATCATGAGTGTCGTTTTCTAGGCTGGTCGAGATGCAAGAAATCTGCATATCCCATTGGGGCATTCATGGAATAGCCAGAAGACACACCGACACCCCTTATGGGCTATGCGACCTAACAACACTCTTCCTCGAAGGCATCGCTTTCTACCTTGAAAGACATCACGGCTTAAACGGCTTTTTATCGGATTTACTAGTATATACTGTCAGGCTCTTCTCTAGTGTTTCACGAACCTTGGATAATATCCTACACCGTTATGACACCCATCTCGTACGGCGTCTTCCGCAAACGTAGGTTATGATGGCCTCTTTTTAAAGTGGTCTGCAGACTGTATCGTCTGCACCGGCAAACGGGCTTCCCAGATTGACACATAGTACCTGGGGAGATTTCACCTTGGATGGTGAAGAATTCAACTTGGTTTGATTTTCACGGTGGGGTTTGTTATCGCTACCTCGTTGTCGTCGGCGATGCCGTCACGGACTTGGGATTGATATGAAATATTATTTGCGAGAGGACTTCGCCGTGTACATTCTCCTAGCGGGGCTTTGAACTGATGAAGACTTTTGAGTCTACGCTTATCCCGAACCGGCCCGATTCCTCAAGCGTTGATATCGACACAATCACTATATGAGGGAATCCTACGAGGTTAGGAATGTGACTGGTAAGGAATACTCTAATATAGCTCATCCTTTTGCTATTTCTATGTAGATGGGCTTATATACTCCGTACTGGTCAATCCAACAGTTAACCCTACCTCACAAACCAAGACCAATCGAATCTATCTCTATGCCACAGCTGTCCCCATTATCCAACTTCTGTAGTCCATCCTGACATCTAGGTACCAGATAATTAAACCTTCTGCACTGTAACACCCCCCGAGGGGGTCCTTTCAGCTGCTTTCCTTTCCGCCAACTCCCGCATCCGATCCGCCATAGCATCCAGCTGACGGGCCGACTCCGCCGCATAACGACAATGGCGACGAATAGCAGGTCCATACCGGTAGAGAACCCACGGGAAAGGAAGACAAGCAAGACCCAGAAATGCCGGGATGGATGAAGCCCAATGAATCCCAAGGTTATGGTACATGGGAGTCGTGAATAGTGGACTAGAAACGCTCGTTAGTAATATCCACACATCAAGGCCAGGAAACATACAACGCAGCCCCGAAAAGCGCCCTGATAATAGCATTCCCCGCTAATGCAGAGGCGGCATAGATTGTATACCCATCGACGAGGTAATTGACCACACTGAGGAAGATAGAAACATGCGAGAACCCAAACAACACGGTGCCAATCTCGCAGACGATCCAGTGTATGCTGGGGAAATTTGTCCACGCAAACCAGAATAGTCCAATGGGGAGCGTGATGGCCCCGACCATGGCGGGTATCAGCCGTGTCTCTGGGGGAGGCCGACCGTGGGGCGTGCGGTCTGCGATTTTCTTGTATCGTCTGTCATCGATGCTGGAATAAACGCATCCCAGAATCTGGCCAATCATCATACCGATGAAGGATAGTCCGGAGGTGCTCTGCGGCCATCCTCGTACGTCTTCGAAGACGATTGGGAAGGCGGCGAATTCCATGTACATTGTTCCGTAGACTGTCACCGTTAGCCACCTTCAATGACGATAGTTGTGGATTCTACTCACTAATCGCCATATATACCGAAAGAAGCAACACGATGGGCTCCTTGAACAGCAGAACCCACGGCCGAACCATAGTCTTCTTGAAAACATCACTTGCCTTCTTCTGACCGTTGTCCACATCCAACCGACTCACGCATACCTTCCCCGTCATCTTGGTAAGTTTCTCTGCCCGTCGCTTGAGCAGAATCGGCGCATATGTCTCGGGAGTCAAACAAACCCCGAACAGAAACACCGTGCCAATAAAAATAGTAGTCAGCCCCTGCACCCACGTCCACCCCTTTGCCACAGCCAAGAAATCACAGACCACAGGTCCCAGACTAGGACCCAGAAACGGCGGCCCGATATAGGCAATCGTAGCCAGCCCCCGATCCCGAGCGACATACAGATCCGAGACCACACCCCCGGCATTCGACGTCGCCGAAGCCCCAATAGCACCCGCCAAACCCCTCAAAATCAGCAGCGTAGCAATATTCTGACTCGCGATGGTAGCCCCCGCACACACCGTTGTCAAGGCATACGTAACGAAATAAATGATCTGCCGTCCATACAACTCAGACAACGGACCCCAGACAGCAGGACCGATAGCAAAGCCGAGAACGAACAGCGAGGTGTCGGCGACAGTGAGCTCGGTGCTCACGCCAAAGGCGGCTTGGAGTTGGGGTTCGGCGGCGGAGAGCGAGGACGACGCGAAGAGGAAGGAGAGGAAGGTGGCGGCCTGGAGGAGGGTGATGGTTAACTTCATCCAGGGGGGCATTTGGTGGGGATCGCGAGGGTCGTTGTGCATCCATTCCACGAGGTAGGGGCTGTCGGGGGTGCCGTTTCCTTCCCATTTGTGGTGGAGGATCTCGTCTGTGATGGTGCTTTGTGAGCAGACGAGTTTGTAGAGCGGGATGGGGCTGCGATGGGGGTGGGGGCTTGGATTTGAGGCTGTCATTATGTGTGCTCAGACAATGGTCTTGGGGTTTTTTTCTTTGGTGGTTTGTTTAAAGAGTAAGAAAGTGGGCGGATGTGTGAAGAAGAACACTGGGAGGAAGTACACAAAGGGTCTTGGAGTGCAGCCAATGCTGTCAAGGTTGAATCTTTGACGGGTAACTCGGACACGAGGGAAATGAAAAACTTGTGCACCAAATAAACCCACATATTTTCCAAAATGTCCCCATGAGTGAGAAAAAAGCACCATAAAAGCACCCTGAGAGAGAGGCCTGAGAGCAAGAGCGAGACAACAAGATCTGCTTGATAATCCACGGCAGGGAATGACCAATCCAGCTCGCAGGTCTTATAAATCACTCCAAGGCACTTCGATACCGGGCCCAAATCCCCCGTAACGGGCGCTCCGACGCGCTGCCTCGACCAGCGGATTTGAAGCCGTAAGTTGGTATAAATGACGATGCCATGTTTCTAAGGCTCTGCCAAGCTTTGTGGCTCCCGCAGGTGGGTCCTTTCTGGCCAATTGACGTTGGGAAAACTGACCAATGTTCCCGACGCTTGGTGGGATCGGCCAGTGCTGAATTCGGTGACTGGGGGTCGTTCTGACTGATCGAGGGGGGAAGGGGCCAAAAGGGTTCTTAGGTGAGGATGGTGATTGGGGTTCATGGGTCGAAGCAGGGTTTACTCATGATTTGACTGTTGGAATTTTGAAAAATAACGCGAAGCATAATATGATGAAGTGTGGAATAGAATACATACTATATATTTTTTAAAATGTGGTAAGTACTAGTAGCTCAAATCGATTCAAAGGGAAAGTTTCTCCAGGAAGTCGAATTAGAGGTTCATTCTAGGCATCTGTATTGAGGTAGGATGAATAAAAGTGACAACTTCATAGTACTTGGGATATCAGATGTTCCAGAAGGGTAGTAGGCCAGACAAGATTTACCGAGGTAGTGTTCAATGACAGCGGCTGGGGACTGAGCGATGAGACAGGCGGCGGGTGAAGTCGAAGATTTTTCATGCAGATGGGGGCATTCATTCTATACCTGATTTGTCTTCTAGTATGACTGGTTAGCTTCTTCTTGTCAGCTAGCAAATGAAGGTATGCTGAAAAAAATAAAATCAATGGTATGCTCATCAGACATCCCTGAGTCCGTTCCGCCCCGGGAAACCACCACAAAAGCGGCAAAAAAAATCATGACAAGAGTGGGATTCGAACCCACGCCTCTTGCGAGACTGCAATGCATCCAATTTGATTGGACAAGCTGTTCACTTGAGTGCAGCGCCTTAGACCGCTCGGCCATCTTGCCGTTCTTGTACGATGTGACGCAGCTTTAACAAGATGTAGGACAAACTTTACATCTGCGTCCATTTTGATCCTATTTTCTATAGGTAGACAGCAAATCCCCGCATTTGTAACTGCGGGTTTTATCGCCCAAATGAGTCGGTGTGGCTGTAAATAGTAGGGAGCCAGACAGAGTCTGGACCCGGAGCCCCGTTAGTGTTTGGGCTGCTGGGTTGCCTGAGGCAGGTCAAGCGAAGTTGTCTTCTCCATGTCAATCTGACTCTTGAGACAATAGAGACCGCAAGCTACACCGCCTGACCCAGCAAGGGTCCACGTGATGTATGACTTTAACGGACCAATCAACGGTGGCAGATATGTGATGTCCACTTTCCGATGAGACTGATTGCCCAAGGATGGCTGGTTGTTCAACACAGCGGTTTATCTCGATGGTATGCTGAGTATTCCGCCGCGACCCTCCAAAACTGACCACTACGCATCCCCAAGGGTGCCCCGTCGAGACCATTGGCGTTAGTCCGATGGCGCGCGCCGTCCGCGCAATGGCCTCATCTCCAGCGCCTCATTGATGCCTCGGTTGACGGGCTCGACCAACTCCATGCGGGGAAACAGTTGTTTTCCCACAATTGATGTTCAACTCCCCACACCCTTTTCGCCATGAATGCAGAGACAAGGATTCGCAAGCGCATCCCCAAGTCCTGTAAGCGCTGTCACCGTCGCAAGCAGCGCTGTGTCGGATACCCGACCTGCTCGGGTTGTGAAGCGGCCAAGCAGCCGTGTCTGCGATCCGAGTCTGCCCCTTCATGGCACCATGCCATGTCCAAGGGGGCACTGGTGCATCGGATTGAGGTGCTGGAGGCGCAGTTATCAGCTGCCTTGGAGCAAATCCCATCGGATGCAGCTGTGCTAGAACAGCCGACGGGCGCAAGCCATCGAAATGATGATTCACAGAGTGGTATTGCTCCGCTGATGGAACTGGGACACGACGGTAGTGAGAATCAAGCATATCTTGGCTCCTCCTCGGGCCTGTCCATTGCCGAGGACCTGGGAAGCCTCGTGCAGAATGCCGTTTGGGTGAGGTCGATCCCCATCAACGGCAGTGATCAGTCGGATTCTGTCTCTATAGATGTCGGATCGGGCGGGCAGGGAGTCACGATTCCCGACGAGGCAGTTGGGTTACGACTCCTCAATGCGTACTTCAGGGACATGCATACGCGTCTTCCCTTCTTGGATCGCGCGGAATTGCTAGACCTGCATGCGATGGTGCAGCGGAACCCTCGGTCAAGTCCAGATAACCAGTCGGGACGATTCAAGATCTTCATGGTCTATGCCATTGGAGCAGCCATTCTACAGATGACGGAAACCTACGATGCGACGCCACCGAGTGCTTTTCTAGCGACGGCGCTGCAACTCGAACCGACCGCCAAGGAGTCGCAGCATGCCCGGATTGAAGCAATCATGCTGCTGGTGCTTTACCACTTGCGAACGTCGTCAGCATCGAAGGTCTGGTATCTGATCGGCTTGGCGATGCGTATTTGCATCGACCTGGGGCTGCATCGGGGAAGCCAGTATCAAAAGATGAACCCACACCGTGGCCAGATGCGGCGTCGCTTGTTCTGGAGCGTGTACTTGGTCGAGCGATACATTTCGTGGTCGTTAGGTCGACCGTTCAGCATTGCCGAGGAAGAGTTTGACGCCGATGTACCAGCCGATGTGGAGGACTCCTGTACTGATGATCCCATGGAACAGACCCAGCATAGTCCACAATACCAGGTGCTCGGTGGGAGCCGAAGGTTCATCGCGCTAACTCGATTGCAACGAATCATGTCCCAGATTCACACGCGCATCTATCGGACGGATAAGACTACCACTGCCTTGATTCCAGAGACTGTCCCCTTGATGGCTGCGTTGGAAGAATTCGAACGGTCCTTCCCAGCGCTGACTCCCGAGGAAGCGGATTTCGTACACATGCATTGGAACAACGCCATCCGCATGCTCATCCAACGGTTCATTGGAATCCTCCCGCGCGGGGATGTTTTGATCGCGAAATGCCTGCCTCTTCGCGTCGGGGCAGATGTGCCAGTGCTTCAAACGACTCCGGCAGAGGGACTCCGCCGGGTATTCCTTCCTTCTGGTCAATTCGCTGTACATGGCAGGGTTGACGATATGGTGAGTGAATCCTACCTCCTTGAAATTCGTACTGACAGCTACGAGCCTTTGTCTCTTTCGGGCCCCTCAGCTGTGGACGGTGGTCGTGTCCAATGACCTACGTGCCTGTTCGTCTGCACTGTTTGTCATGGCTGAGAGGAATGCCAGCTTGAAGAAGTACCGAGACGGGCTGGAAACAATCATCAACCGGGCGATGGAATTTGTGCAAGAGGCTGGCTCTACGGATACCGAGTCTGGGGTTCATCAGTTTGCAACTGCCCAACCAACAGATCCTCCCAGAGAAGAGGCTGGATTACAAACGGGAATGCCTACAGGAGAGAACTCAATGCCGACCGGATTTATTGACTTCCAGTGTCCATTCCCCCCCGCGGGAGGCCTGGCAGCCGGACAAGATATCTATGGCTAGACTGAATCGCAAGAACCCGAGCTGTGGCATGCGTTCAGCGACATTCTCCCCGAAGGTCTTTGGTCGAACGATCTATTTGGACTGGACATATCCGACGGATTGAATGACTGGTTGGCCGCCGAGTAGACGCTAATCATAAACCCTTTCCTGGAATTTCTCTATGGTATCTAATGTGAAGACCATCCAACCATCACCGATGGGCCGCAGACAATGTATCCTCGATGCCCAGATCCTCGCGTCTGGACTTGCTCTCCGGATCCAAGTACGGGACCTCTCCCACCCCGACCGCGCGATTCCCGCTCCTGGGCCCGAACCCTTCATAATCGCCAGTCGCCGTGTGGAACACACTCCGGTTATCCCAGATCGCTGGTTCCGTTAGTTCGTCTTGCAGTGACAAATCTCTGGACCGACATACCGATATCATGCGGCTCATTCCACTTGAATCGCACCTGGAGATCATGGCCGTACGTGATCAGATCATTGAAGTACTGCAGCATGTTTGCGCTCTCTCGCCGATTGAGGCCGTTAATCTTGGCCGGAAATGCGCCTGTTCCTATCAGCCACTGACCCACCAACACTTGACTCTCAACCTACCAATCGGGAATATCGACTTCCACCCGGTGATCGGATTCGTCCGAACAACCTAACAATCCATCAGCATCACTACTACTCTCAACCCTGAGACCCTCATACCGGATGCACCGCCTCCAAGTCCTCCCCGACATTAACCGGTGCCCCCCGCTCCGCCGTATACATCGTGAACCCCCCGGACTGTGCCATCCTTCGGAACCCCTCACCGACATGCGTCGCCGTCAGAGTCTCCAAAAAAGCGCGATAGGGCTTACTGATCCGATCATAGACCTCGTACCCCGACGCCCAGAGGGTATCCCCGCCGGTCTGGGGCAGCTGCACGAGCCGCAGACTCGAAAAGTCCGCGGGGGCCTTCTCAAAGGCAATATCACTATGCCAGACGGCCGCCGTGCGAGTATAGTCCGAGTCCTTGTAGAGCTTCTTCCGCCCCTCGGAGCTGATAGTGCTGATCTCGGGGTCGGGGTCACCGAACTCGCGGGCGTCGTTGGTGACGGGGTGGATGTGCAGGCCGTGGGTGTCGGGGCGGGTGGTCAATTGACCCATCTTCAGGATGAGGTCTTTTTGCAGCGCGTTGGTCAGGTTGTTCTGTGCGCGAAAGAAGACGACGCCTCGTTCGGCGACTGCATAGTACGGTCAGATAGGTGTCTCACGGAGATAAGTAGGAAATATCCAAGACGGCGAGATCGCGAATCCGGGCCTCGGCATTTGGAGCGTTGAGGATATCATCGACAATGTTGCAGGTGGCTTTGGGGAATTCGGTGCCGATGACGGGGGTGACGTAGGTGGCGGGGAAGGCGTCGAGGGAGCCGGAGGAGTGGATGCGAGGCATGGTTTCGGCTGGAAGGTGTGTGTGGGCTTTCCAGATAGTCATGAACGAAGCCATGGATCCATGTATTTATACTTTTGTATCGCAGTGGATGTTGCGATACTTGGATGCAGATGGCGAGATCGGGTTTCGGCGTTAGGGATATAGCCGATGGGAGTCACGATTGATAATAATGTAGACATGAAACAGGAAATAATTGCTTCTGAATGTTTCACCGTGCCCCCTTTACCATTCTAATCCTACTTCCTACTCCTCCTCCCTGGACTATCATGTGGTAGACAGACTCAGGCCTCCCATCGGAGACGGCACCTTCCGCCCGTCAGCCACGGCCGCGACCCGCCCGGCGGATCCTCCGACTGGCAGCATCCACTTCCTACTTCCTTTCCTCGCTCCATCACCACTGCTCATCACGGCCTGCAACCATGTCGACAGCAAGCTTCCACGTCCAGGAGCACCGCATCCCCGCCTGCCACGTCCGCGAGTATGCGGGCAGCACCGTGGACCAGGAGGACGTGCTGCAGCTCCACGTCAAGCAGTACACCCCGCGGGGCCTGCCGGATCCCGTCCCCGCCCATGCCCTCACCCTGATAGCCGCCCATGCCGTGGGCTTCCCCAAGGTACCTTACCCTCATTTACACCCCCATATATACACAGACTAACCCATTCACCCCAGGAACTCTACGAGCCCCTATGGGGCGAGCTCCTGGCGCGCTCACCCGTTCCGATCCGCGGAATCTGGATCGCGGACGTAGCCAACATGGGAATGAGCGGTGCCATCAACGAAGACAAGCTGAGCATGGACTGTACCCACCCCATCCCTCCCTCATCCTCCACTCCACACACTATCCCCAACTAACAACCCCAGGCTCCTGGATGGACCACCCCCGCGACCTCCTCCTCCTAATCAACCACTTCCGGACCGAAATGCCACGCCCCCTCATCGGAATCGGACACAGCTTCGGCGGAACAATCATGTACGCCTCCAGTCCTACCCATCCCCAACCGTATCCACCCAACT